TCTCTCTTAATGGGGAAAGAAAGGGTAGTTTGTGTGTAACTAGCTTTTTCAAGTTTCATACAATTATTGTAGGAAATGCATTATAAGGCAATTATAAGAATGACATGTAAAGATCGATTTAACATGTCATGTATATACGTATATGTATATATGTATATATGTATATATGTATATATATATATTATATATACATACATACATATATATATATATATATATATATATATATATATATATATATATATGTGTGTGTGTGTGTGTGTGTGTGTGTGTGTGTGTGTGTGTGTGTGTGTGTGTGTGTATGTATGTATGTATAAATGTATATATATATATTCTATAACATACTTCAGCAGGCTTTATTATAATGAATATACAACTTATTGATATGAAATATTTTACAATGAAAAAAAAAAGTAATTGACACGCCGATTTAATTCAAGAAATGAAATGTAATAAAATGACTCGATCAAAAACACAAACATATGTTGGGTCTGCCACACTGAGCACTATCTATTTAGAAAGTCATGATGACGCAGATAATACAAATTGCATGCTACTGAAAATAGAAATTATCTAACAGTAAAACAATGGATGCTCCAAATTGCATGTATCAACTTTATCGTGTATTTTCTCATTCATGAAGTCACTTTTCTCTCGTATCATTACTGCTGCACTTTATCATTACCGCCGTTCTTTCATCTATTAAACATAGTGTTCGATATTCTTGTGCATTAGAAAAATCTTTAATGCTTAACTTGTAAATGAAAAGCCAAGAGTTCCATTGAGGTAATTATGATTGTACACGTAACCCATGGTAAAGCGAAAATTAATTTGAAAACGGACTCAATACCACACACACACACACACAAATATATATACTGCATTTATACATATACTATATCCATCCATCCATCCATCCATACATCCATATATACATACATTCATACATACATGCATACACACATACGCACACACATACACACACACACACACACACACACACACACACACACACACACACACACACACACATACACACATACACACATACACACACACACACACACACACACACACACACACACACACACACACACACACACACATATATATATATATATATATATATTTATATATATATGCATACATATATATATATATGCATATATATATATATATATATATATATATATATATATATATATATGTATATATATATATTTGTATGTGTGTGTTTGTGTGTGTTCAAGTAACCACTATCATACTCAATAAAATATCAGCGATAAGCTTCACAAGCACAATGTTTGTCCTTGCCAAACAAACGTTATTTACACAACGATACAACAACCAAACAACATAGGAAATCTCTTGTGCAACCACACGGAAACCCATCAATACATTGCTCGTTATGTTCATATTACGGTAAACAACCAATTGTAAATAACGTATCTTTCGCTCTTCTCCAAGCAATTATAAATGGCTTCATTAACATCACAAACAAGCATCTGATTTTCAAATTTATCGTTATATACAAGCAATTATAAACAGCATTATATTGCTTTAATCATGCGTATGTTGTTTTTGTTATCACTATTATTGTCATTATTACTATTATTGTCATCATTGTCATCATAAATCGACACATCAACATCAATATTGTATTTATTACTGTTCTTGTTATCACCATTATTATGGTCATTGTTACTATCATCATCATCATTATTATTATTGTTATTATTAATATTGTTATTATTATTATTATTATAATTATCATTATTTTTATCATATCATTATTATCATTATCATCATCATTATTATCACTGGAATCATCATCGGTATTGCTGTTGTCATTATCGTTACTGTTATCATTATCATTATAATATCATGATCATCATTATTATCATTATTATTGCTGTTATTCTTATCTTTGTTAAATCATCATTGGTGATCGTATTGTTAATAGTATAATTATCATAATTGTTATCATGATATGTTATTGTTTTATTAATATCGGTATTAGTATCATTATCATTATTAACAGCAGTAGTAGCAGCAGCGGTAGGAGTAATAACCGTATCATTATCATTACCCTTATCATTATTACTATAATTGGCATTATCATTATAGTTTTTACTGTTATTAATGTTATTATTGCCATTATCATTATTAGTGTCATCATTATACTGTTCCTGTTACTATCATCATTATCAGTATTACTGTATCATTATCACCATTATTAGTAGTATCATCATTATTGTTATTATCATTACCATTATTATTATCATTGTTATCATTATTACCATTATCATTATAATTATTATTATCATAATCATTATCATTGTAGTTATTATCATTATCATTATTATTGTTATTATTATAATTATCATTATTATTATTATCATCATCACTATCATCATTTATCATTATTATCATCATTATTATCATGTTATTACCATTACCATTACCATTCTAATGCTTATCTTATCTCTCCCCAGACCATCGTCCGCCCCCCCCCCCCTCGTCCCCTCGCAATGGCAGTAGACCGAATTAGCAAAGCACGCCCTTTTCTGGCCTGGACCGCGAGAATGTGGTCGGCGATTGCGCTAACTATGCTCGTGGGCGGCTGTTTGGTCCTTCAGAGGAGATCCGGTTCCCTGCCCTCCGCCCGCACGCCCATAGATGCCGTGGGTCGTCAGGAGAGGGCGGAGTGTGGGCGTGAAGAGGGAAATAAGGAATACTTACCTCCTTGTCCAGCTACTCCCCCGGGCTTGCGTGGGTAACATCTCTTTGTGTTTGTTATTGTTATAAGATGAATGGGAATTTTCCTTGGGTAGGAGGTAAATGTATTCATGTTGATGATGGAAAGACAATGGCAATGAAGATTATATTTTGTTTATGTCACACACACACACACACACACACACACACACACACACACACACACACACACACACACACACACACACACACACACACACACACACATGAACATACTAGCCAGGGCTGGAATTCTACGGAAATTCGTCTGCTAAACAGAAATAAAATACGACCGACGAATGGTAATGCCACCAGTGTTTAAAAGCAATATTGAAATAATTTCGTATGGTCAAAGAAATTAAACATGATTATTGCTGAAACCATCCTTGCATGAACTGAAATTATGTGGCAAACCGAACGTCATCGCTTCGGTAATTTCATCCGATGTCACTTCAGCTGGGTCTTTCACCTGGGCGTCACCAAAGGCAGAGCCACTGTCCCATATAGTGACTTAAGCCTTCAGCCCAGCAACACACTCGCTATAAATAGTCGTACACATTATAGATTAAGGTTAAAGGTTCGATGTCGCAGTTATACATCTAATACATTTTCTATAAAGATATGTGGGTGCATTTTATGTTGTTGAACGTTGTTAATTATTAGCTTAATAATGTATTCATTGTATATTTTATGCAGTATAATAAACAAGAAAGTAATGCAGGGAATCCTATAATCACCAGACTCTGAGCACACGTACTGTAACTGTAATCTAATATTCATCCGTTTATAATAGTGTATGGTTCAATTTTATCATTTAATATCCGTTTTCTTTATCATCTGATGTTTAGAAAACAGCACACGAGCATCAAATGATTTCAATTTTCTAATACAACAGAATAAAAAAAAAAAAAAAATCAGAACAAGATAAACAGATAAGAAATAACCTGGAAATGCAATTACAGAAGGAAAACTTGAAGTAAGAGAAGACATTTCATTAGAAGAAACAATAAAGGAACTAGCTGACGGAGTAAGGGTGGGGGGGTCATGGTCTCCCCCCCAGTGCCTGCCACGCTGGAAAATCGCGATTATCGTTCCATTTCGCGACAGGCAATCGCAGGTGGGTGTGGTTTGTCGTATTGAGAGGCAGATATAGACAGATTGATAGATACAGATTGATAAGTAGATATAGATTGATAGATAGATTGATAAGTAGATAGATTGATAGATATAGATATAACAGATGATAGATATAGATTGATAAGTAGATAGATTGATAGATATAGATTGATAAGTATATAGATTGATAAATACACAGATTGATAGATATTGATTGATAAGTATATAGATTGATAAATACACAGATTGATAGATATTGATATAGATTGATAAATACACAGATATAGATATGATTGATAAGTAGATTGATAAATACACAGATTGATAGATATTGATTGATAAGTAGATAGATTGATAGATATTGATTGATAAATGGATAAATGATAGATATAGATTGATAAATAAATAGATGATAGATATAGATTGATAAATATATAGATAGATATAGATTGATATATATACAGATTGATAGATATTGATTGATAAATGGATAGATTGATAGATATAGATTGATAAGTTGATAGAATGATATATATTGATTGATAAGTAGATAGCTTGATAGATATAGAATGATAGATTTAGGTAGATGTACAGATAGACGCTGGGGCATTGCGATTATCAGTCCATCTTGTGACAAGCACAGCTGGGTTTGGTTTGTCCTATTTATAGGTAGATATAAATAGACTGATAGATATAGATTAATAAATAGACAGATTGATAGATATTGATTGATAAGTAGATAGATTGATAGATATAGATTGATTATTAGATAGATTGATAGATATTGATTGATAAGTAGATAGATTGATAGATATAGATCGATAAACAGATGGATTGATAGATTTAGGTAGATAAGTAGATAGATTGATAGATTTGGGTAGATGTATAGATAGATGCTGGAGCATTGAGATTATCATTCCGTATCGTGACAAGCATAGGTGGGTGTGGGTTGTCGTAGTGAAGAGCATATATAGGGCTTTTATGTAGGCCTATACATCGAATCATTGATCGATTGATTGACAGGTAGAGGGATGGATAGCTATATAGAGACAGGGATAGATAGATAGATTTCTAGTGAAGAGCATATATAGATAGGCTGATAGACAGATAGAAATAGAGTGATGGGTAGATAGGTAGATAGAGTTAGATATTTAGATCGCGATTATTACTATATTGGGCTTTAATGTAGGCCTATGGATGGATTAATAGATGGGTTGGTAGATGGAAGGGTGAGTGGATGGATGGGTAGATGGGTAGATGGATAGATAGAGATAATTAGGTAGATAGATGGAGGTAGATTGATAGCGATCGATAGATAGACGATAGATAGACGCTTGGGAATCGTTACTATTCCATTTTGCGATAGACAAGTTCAGGTATGCGTGGTGTGTCGTAGTGAAAGGCATATATTGGTTTGATTGTAGGCCGGTCAATAGATGGATGGATGGGTGGATAGATAGATAGATCGAAAAACAGATAGAGGTAAGCCCTATCTTCGTCAAGAGAGTAAAGTTAGTAGTTAGTAGTTAGACTAGAAATCACTGAAATACTTTAAAGGTAATATATTCTCCACTCCTTTAACTTTTAGGTTATTCTTTATGTTAAACATGATATTTAGGTCACCATTCCGCATGGATGATATGCGTGTGTACTTGCCTGTGTATGCACCAATACACATACATCGGCACTGTATACACATATATATTTAGTTCTCGCTCGTCCCCAGGTCGGCCCATTCCTGTACCACATGCACAAATTCCTACAGCGACAACAGCTCAATTATACCATCTATATCGTTGAACAAGAAGGTAAGAAAATGCTTCAGAAATCCTTTGTGTTTACTTCCATGGAGCTTGCGCTTTTGGTAGCGTTGGTCGGTTAGTGTGTTCGTTGGTTTGTTGGTTAGCATGTGATAACTAAAGAAGTTATGGGATTTTTTTATTTTTTTATTTTATTTTATTATTTACTTATATATTTTTTTTATTATTATTATTGCTTATACCAGAGGTGTGTTTTAGCCAAACTTCGATGCCATAAAATTATGGTTGGCTTCTAGTTGTGAATATTTGTTTATGTAAAGAGAGAGGATGTGGGTGAGGGTGAGGGGGGAGGGTGAAAGGGAGAGGGAGGGAAATCATTTTTATTACTATCCTCATCCGCATCTTTATCATCGCTATTATTATTACCCTCATTATCCTCAGTAACTTTTCCACGAAAACCATTATTATTATTATTATTATTATTATTATTATTATTATTATTATTATCATCATCATTATCATTATTATTATCATTATTATTATTATCATTATTATTATTATTATCATCATCCTCTCTCCCATACCCCCTCCTCTCTCCCACACCCCTTCCTCACCTCCCTCACATCCCTCCTCACACATCCCTCCTCACTCACCTTCCTCACCTCCCTCACATCCCTTCCTCACTCACCCACACACCTCTTCCTCACTCACCCACGCACACCCCTTCCTCACCAACAGGTACGGACCTATTTAACCGCGCCCGCCTCCTGAACGTGGGCTACCTGCAGGCGCTAACTGACGGTCCCTTTGACTGCTACGCCTTTCACGACATAGACATGCTGCCTGAAGACGATCGACATCTGTACCACTGTTCACCGCAGCCGAGGCACCTGGCCGTTGCTGCTTCGAATCAGAATTACAGGTGGTGTGGGTGTGGGTGTGTAGGGGTGGGTGTGTAGGGGGGGTGTGTAGGGGTGGATGTGGATGTGTAGGGGTGGGTGTGTAGGGGTGGTGTAGGGATGGGGGGTGGGGTAAGGGAGTGGATTTGGTTAGAAGGGGAGGGTGGGAGAGGGGGAGGGAGGGGGAAAGGGGAGGAAGAGGGAGGGAGGGAGGGAGAGAGAGAGGGTAGGGGAGGAAGAGGGAGAGAGGGAGGGGGAGGGGAGGAAGAGGGAAGAGGGGGGAGAGGAGAGAGAGGAGGGAGAGAGAGAGGGGAGGGAGAGGGAGGAGGGAGGAGGAGAGGGAGGGGGAGGGGAGGGGAGGGAGGGGAGGGAGGGGAAGGAAGAGGGAGAGGGAGGGGAGGGAGGGGAGGGAGGGAGGGGGGAGGAAGAGGGAGGGGAGGAGAGGAGAGGGAGAGGGAGGAGGGGGAGAGGGGGAGGGGGAGGGAGGGAGAGCGAGATGAGAGAGAGAGAAAGGAGAGAGAGGAGGAGAGAGAGAGAGAGAGAGGGAGAGAGAAAAGAGAGAGAGGGAGACAGAAGAGAGAGAGAGAGAGAAGAGAAAGAAAGAGAGGAGGGAGAGCAAGAGGGAGGAGAAAGAGGGAATCTCAAGTGACGAGTTGTTAGTACCCAAGTATTTGTGCATATGCATGATTGCAGAGTGATTGCCATTTTTTTTTTTTTTTTTTTTGCACGCCTTCATGGATATAATCTCATCAGTATAATTAACTAAACATTTGTTATGATATATTAACAGCATGACAGTGCGACGTCAGTATAACGGAGCGACATCACAGCACGAACAGTGAACAGTGACCTCGGCATGACTTAAAAAAGGGCAGCATGATGTAGGGGCAGCATCACTAGACTGTGAGCTAGCATGGCGATTAATGAAACGGCATGACGGATAAACGATGGACATGATGCACGCCGATACATGTGCTGACTGCATTCGGACATTTGCATGACGTATGTGATAAAGTTGTGACTGTACACGTTCATTGAGAACATTCACGTTGTTTACAACAGCGCCACTCTCTTTTTCTTTCTCTTTCATCTCTCTCTCTCTCTTTCGATTTCTCTCTCTCTCTCTCTCTCTCTCTCTCTCTCTCTCTCTCTCTCTCTCTCTCTCTCTCCTCTCTCTCTCTCTCTCTCTCTCTCTCTCTCTCTCTCTCTCTCTCTCTCTCTCTCTCTCTCTCTCTCTCTCTCTCTCTCTCTCTCTCTCTCTCTCTCTCTCTCTCTCTCCTCTCTCTCTCTCTCTCTCTCTCTCTCTCTCTCTCTCTCTCTCTCTCTCTCTCTCTCCTCTCTCTCTCTCTCTCTCTCTCTCCCTCTCCCTCTCTCTCTTCTCTCTCTCTCTCTCTCTCTCTCTCTCCTCTCTCTCTCTCTCTCTCTCTCTCTCTCTCTCTCTCTCTCTCTCTCTCTCTACTCTCACTATCTCTATTTCTCTATCACACACACACACACACAAACAAACAAACAAACAAACACACAAACCACACACACACATACACACAAACACAAACCACACACCAGCATCCCTAACCTAACCTTAAATAACAGACCGCAGCATGACCCAAGACGAGACCAAAACCAATGACCAGTGCCTCTCCCCCTCCCCCCCCTCCCCTTCCCCCTTGGCCCCCCCCCCTCCCCCCCCACCCCCTCACGCAGATCCTCACACAGCCTCGCCTACAACAAGTACTTCGGGGTGCTTGCCTCATGACCCAGAACACCTCGCGCGTCAACGGCTGGAGCAACATCTACCGAGACCCCGACTTTCCTCGTTCCCCCCCTCCCCCCTCCCCTTGGCCCCACCCCCTCACGCAGATCCTCACACAGCCTCGCCTACAACAAGTACTTCGGGGTGCTTGCCTCATGACCCAGGAACACCTCGCGCGGTCAACGCTGGAGCAACATCTACTGGGGTTGGGGAGGCGAGGACGATGACATGTGGAGGCGCCTTTCCTTCGAGAACATTCCCGTGTGGAGGTTCCCGGCCAGCGTCGCGAGGTACAAGACGATCAAGCACGATCCGCAGACAGTTAATAAGAAGAGGTGAGGTTGTGGTGGGTGGGAAGGGTGTGTGTTGTAGACGTAGACAGATGCACGCACGCATACGCACAGGCACACGCATAGAGATACGTGTGTGTGTGTGTGTGTGTGTGTGTGTGTGTGTGTGTGTGTGTGTGTGTGTGTGTGTGTGTGTGTGTGTGTGTGTGGTGTGTGTGTGTGAGAGAGAGAGAGAGAGAGAGAGAGAGAGAGAGAGAGAGAGAGAGAGAGAGAGAGAGAGAGAGAGAGAGAGAGAGAGAGAGAGAGAGAGAGATTTTAAGCTCTGAACGTGAAATTACTATAGTGAGCTTTATTCTATACATCCAGATTACATTCTAGGATACAAGTAAATGTCTATGAATGCGTATTAAATGAAAATAAAGACGAGGCCGCACCATATTTGTCGTACAGCTCAGCCTACGTGTTCTCACCAATACATTCATTTGACTATCCATTCCCTCATTCCCGAACAGGTACCAGACCCTTCAGAGAAACACAGGACGCTATCCACACGACGGTCTCTCTACGATCAAGTACGTCATTAAATCAAGAGTCAGTCATCCTCTTTATACCTACATCTTAGCCAACATAGGGACACCACCAAAGCCTCTTACGTAATGCAAAGCTCTATTTAAATACCTGGATTGATATTCGACTGACAGGATAATAACGTTCAAGTTGTAGGATAAAACTACGATTTTCTCTACAAAGGATAACCCTGGTAAATAGATACCTGATGCAAGGGTCTTGGAATCCATGTTTGCACTAAGATCTAATCCGACATCGGGGTATTGGATCCCAAAACCACTGGATGAAGCCTTGGAGAATTTATAGTTCCTCGCTCTTCAGACTAGAGGGCGGTAGTAATGGTGATAATAATTTCCAAACAAGGCTTTTAACCCACAATTCCTGCTTAATGCGCGGGTCTTGTGGTAAACATATCATCAGTATTAGTATTATGTACCTGTAAATACACGCGTCCACAGAATATGTTTGCGGTTAATGCTGTATTTGTGGTCGAGTCTTCACCTGTGATATTAGTGTCTCACCTGTGGTTGAGTTTAATAAAATGTATTTCTGAAGTATTTTTGCCTTATTTACACCCAAGAGAAGAATATGTCCTATTAATTGTCGATATAATGTTGGGGTATAAAGCGTTAGTACTATTGTCCTATTACAAGTTGTAATGATAATGTGATATGTAATGGTAATTATTAATAATGATAGTAAGTGTAGGAGTTAAACATAATAGAGAAACAAAATGAAATTGATAAAAGTTGACCAAGTTTGCTAGATAAAAGGTCAATTCATAATGCTATTCATGATACGAATAACTACAATGATCAGAGTAATAATACTTTCATTAGCAATTCTGTTTTCATTTAATGATAGATGTAATAATAGCAATAACAGGAGTGCATAAGAACACCGAAACGGACGGAATCAGAGGCAGAATGGGCCGAAACGGAGCTGGTAGGAAATCATATTAATCTTTTGATGCAAGAATTATACTTTATATAACTGTTTAAGTCCACTTAATGAAAATCGAGTTGCTATCTGGCCTGGAAATCAATGATTCATGGAGCTCGATTTTCGGTTTGTGTTCGGGCGCGGCCATATTAGATACAGGATTGGCTGGACGTTGAGAGGTAAATAAAACACCCCTAACCTAACCCTAAATAACAGACCGCAGCATCTGGCCAGGGAATCGATGATTTATGGACCACAATTTTCAGTCTGCTGTCTCGGTTTGTCTGTGCCATATAATAAACAAGATTGACTGGATCTTAATAGTTATATATGGTATAATTACTGCATTAAAAGATCATAATATTCTCTTACAAGCTTCGTTTCGGTCCATTTTGCCTCCGATTCGGTCTCTTTCGGTGTTCTTATTGAACCCGAATCGGAGGTGAAAGCTTGTAGGAGAATATTATGTTTGAATGCTATAATTATTCTATATATGAGTATTACAGTCCAGCCATTCTTGTATACAATATTACTCCACACAACAAAACAAACAGACAGCAGACTGAAGATTGTGGTCCATAAACTATCGATTCCCTGGCCAGATACTCTCAATTTTCATTATTTGGACTTCAATAATTATAGAAAGTTTGCTCCTATTCGACCCGCTTCGGTGTTCTTATGAACCGTAATAACAGTAAAGAAAAAACAACAACTAAATTTACAGTCATAATTACACCATAGTGATATTTGGAAAAGAAAACATACAACATACTTGGTAATAAAAATAAAATGATTAAGAACAACAAAAGTACGCTTGGAAAAGGTTATAATAACTAAAGTGATAATAGTAGTGGTAGGACTAGTAGAAATAGTAATGGTAATAGGAATTGTATTTGTAGCTAATTCAACAAAGGTAATAACAAAGGTAACGATAACAACAACAATGATGATAATAATGATAATGATAATAATGAATTGATACCGATGATGATAATGAAATAATGATAATATTGGTAACAACGATATTGAAAATGATTGCAATAATGATATGTTATGATATATACTGATAATGATAATGATGACATCATTAATGATAACAATGATGATAACAATAATAACAACAGCAATGGCAGTAGTGATAATAATGATAATGGTAATGATAATAATGATGCTGATAATAGTTATAATGATAATGATAATAACAGTGATAATAAAGATTATAATAGTGATTATAGTAGCAGTAGTAGTAGTTACAATAATGATAACAATGATAATAATAATGATAATTATAACAATAATGATAATGGTAATAATAATAATGATAATGATAATAATTACAACATTAATGAGAATGATAACAATAACGGTAATATGATAATGATAACGATGATAATAATAATGATAATGATAAAATCATGTTAGTAATGATGACGCTAAAATTGATAGTGATGATGATGTTAATAGTAATGATGATAGTCATAATAATAATGATAATGATAATAATGATAATGATAACAGTAATGATGATAATAATAGTAATGATGATAGTCATTATATAATGATAATGAAAATAATGATAATGATAACAATGATAATGCAGATGATAATAATGATATTGATGATGTTGATAATGATAATAATAATAATAATAATAGTAACAGTGATGGTAATAATAATGATGATATAATGATGATGACAATAATAATGATAATAATAATAATGATAATAATGATAACAATTATGACGATAATGATAATGATGATAAAAATGATGATAATAAATGATAATGACAATGATGGGGATGATGATGATGGTATTAATAATAACAAAATAATAATAATGATAATAATAATAATAATAATAATAATAATATAATAATAATAATAATAATAATATAATAATAATAATAAATAATATAATAATAATAATAATAATAATATAATGATATAATAATAATAATAAAATAATAATAATAATAATGATAATAATAATAATAATAATAATAATAATAATAATAATAATAATAATAATAATAATAATAATAATAATAATAATAATAATAATAATAATAATAATAAAATAATAATGATAATAATAATGAAAATAATAATGATTAGTGATAATAAGAATAACAGTAATGGAAATAGTAATAATATTAATGATGATAATGATAATAATAATGATAATGATAATAATGATAATGATAATGATAATGATGATGAAAAATGATAGTAGTAACAATGATAATGATACCTGACAATAATGATAATAAACGGGCAACATGACGTTGGTAATATCAAAATCATAAAAAACAATAAAAAGACATGAATAACAATAATAGTAGTAATAGCACTAACAACTACAATAAAAAAATAAATCAACAGACAGTAATAATAGAATTCTACCCATATTAGCGAACATTTTCACTAAATTTTGTTCACCCACTCCTCTTCGTTACGGCCTGTTCGTTAGCAGGGATCCAGCTGGTAGTGTTACATATGCGAGAGGAAAGTGACGAAATAATTTTTTGAAGTTTAGAAGCTGTATTTTGGAGATAAAAAGAGATGTTTCGATATATTGGAGTACGTGGTTTGTCTCCATATACACAGATTAAGGTATGGTTGTGGAGTTTAAGATGTTTTGGGTGACTATTGTGTCGTAGTTGTGGAATAATGGTGTGAAATAAGGATTATTTTTGAGGGGGTAGGTATAGGGAGGAATGTTTAATGAAAGGGGTTCCATTTGTCTATATTTGGTGGTTTTGTCTATTGTGTTTTTCTTCCTCCTTCCCTGTGTTATATTGATTTTTAAGTATTATGAACCATTAGGCATAATAGTCAGTCATAGGTGTTCATAGCGATTTTTTTTTTTTTAGTTTTAATGGACACACCTGTAGTTACTTTTGAGATTTTTTTTTTTTTTCTGTTGTCATAGTATCCAAATACACTTCAAACTTAAAAGCATTTGAGATAGAAGGCTTGCTAACTGAATTCCAGTCTTGTAGTCATATAGTGTCAAGTGTGCACCGAGGCCTTCATGCCATAAACAATGGATGATTATATATTAACTTGCCAGTGAAATTTAAAATAATTTTTGGTAGAATATTTGTATTGCAGAATTATTGGCTATCACTGGAGTGCTGAGTGACACGACCTTGGGCTGATGTCCCAAGTCTTACCAATCATGTAATGCAAATTTACATGAACTCAAGGCGTCTTTTCCAGGGTTATTGGAAACGCAACACCTCTTGCGCGACAGGAATCGAGCAGATGGTTAACTTACATTGAGTCGCCAGATGCATTCCTCCTACTTCGGATATTTCTTGCATATTCGTACTTATATTAGATATCTATAACACCGCGCTACACACCATAAGATATCAAAAGCCATCTTGGATATCATATTCCAAAATACTGTGTACCTGTCGGAAAAATATCCAGTACAGTAAAATAGCAAGCTGTCAACCGCAATCATTCCAATTACGTCACAGAAATGGTCAGTGCTCAGAGGCCTGTCTTGCCTCTGAACACGAGACAGCCTTTGGTGTTGCGTCGTGTCTCATGACACCCTAATTGCCACAGGAAAAGATGCCTTAACATCCACTGTTGGATAAGTGTAGGTCACTTTTGATAACCTAGCCCAATTGAAACTAATTAGCATAAAAATACTTCATCGTATCAGAAGAGACAACAATATCAAAAAATGCCAAATGCTTGTGAAATGCCTTGCTACCTCAAATATTCTGTCTGGTTAGTCTAGGGGTTACCTGTCTGTTTAGTTGAGTACAAAGTTTTATTTGATTGAAACATGTATTATGTTGAAATATTTAGTCCATTTCTTCACTGATGATTATGCTGTCTTTTCAAGAGGCTTCTGAAGCTTTTTTCACTAATGCTCCACATAAATCATTTTTAGTTATGAATAAGGTTGTTTATTTCATCAGTTGCCAAGGAACAATGAATATATTTTTATCATGAATTCACATTCTATCAAGGTCTTTACCTTAGGTATTCCCTAAATGATTTAATTCCTTTGCTGATATCTCTTAGTTAAAATCTTAGCAGTGGCCAGACTATGTGAAGCTGTGACCTTTCTCACCTATGGATCCATTTGTTAATGTCTGTTCCTTTTAGCAGCATATTTATGTAACTGTTATACATTCTCTGGAAAACATTCAACCCCTGCATATTATTCTGTGACCAGCATACACGTTCTACCATGGTTGTATTGTATCAACAGGCATATTATTCCTTTGCAAGAGTAGAAAGGCCTTTAGGCTAGAACAAGTGCGGGACAAAATAATTTTTTTTATGATTTTTCAAAATCATTTACGTTTTTATTTTGTTTCCATCTCCTCATTACCCATATCCCATAGGTCTGTTAGATTGCAGTTGGTTGTCAGGGTTGCAGACGAAGGATGCAATTTGATAAGAAATAATAGGTAATATTTATCAAAGTGAAGATTAATGACATGCTTTTCAGTTTCTTGTGGACATTTTTTTGTTCAGTTTTTTTTATTTTTTACTCAAATAAGGTTAGTCTACTCAGCAGTGTGATTCTTTATAGTTTCTTATCCTATAATCTAATTGTCAATGAATACTAAAACATTTTCCATCTATGTTGTAGAGATTGCATATTGAAAATCAAAAAGCTATATTATGAAACCAAATGATACTTGTAGTCAAGAGAGTGCCATAGCTTGTGTGCCTGTGGTACACAAGCAAAGGCCAATAAACCTCCAATGTATATCTAGATCATATTCTAGGTAGATAGGGTTTCACAGATAGATATATATTGCCAGAGATACCTATTAAATTTAGTAAAGAAAAAAATTAATTTGTAGTTTGCGAGAACTGTATCAGAAGAAAAATATCAAAGAATTTAGTAATGTGTTGATTTGAAGGACTATAATAGTTAATGATTATTGTAATAATTATGAATAATAATTGCACTTTCCATAGTCATTAAATCATCAAAATATGCAGTCTAATCAAAGGATTTACAGGAAATATTTCTGCAGTATTATCATTTATTGTTTGTTTACAGGGTGCAGTAAGATGGATGTGTGACGTCGCAACCAATGCAGGGGAAGCCAGACTCGCAGAGATCCTCAAGCAACGTTTTCCACAGGCTACTGGCGTTGAAGTTAGAGACATTTCAGGTTAGTTGATGAGTTCATAAGGGCATTTTTTACCCCATTTACATGTTTCTTTTAAAAAATCCCTATTGGTCATGTTTTCTTATTTGAAAAAGATATAAGAAAAAGTCTGTCAGGTTTAATTGGTTCTTTTCCTGGTTTGAACATAAATATGTAAAATGGTCTATTTTATGTAAAGACTTAATTATATAAAATGGTCTTTGTTTTCTCCTGAATGTGCATGTACTTGTGTTTGTCACTGAATGTGCAGTATTATATTTTACACACATTCACTTATTTTTCGCCTAACAGGTGGTTGTGGAGCAATGTATGAAGTATGGGTAGAAGCCCCCGATTTCAAAGGCCTTTCTCGAGTAAAACAGCACAAACTAATCACCCAGGTAAAGACGTAATATGCTTAAAGTACTCTAAAATGTAATACTATTATTCTTTGTGTATATTACATGAGTTGCAAATCAGATTGAACCTTTTTTTTGTGAATTACTTTTCCCATTAGTTTGTTTTTTGTGTTTTGATGGCCGTCTCTTCTTTTCCAGACCTTAAAATCAGAAATCCAGGATATGCATGGTCTCCGCATCAGCACTACAGTACCAGAGGAGTCATAGCTATTACTGTAACTGCAGCTATTACAGAAATCACATTTTACTTAAAACTGTGACAGCCACTTCGAAAGCAGGTCAAGTGAAGAATCCAATTTTTTTTCTCTTTTGGGAAAAAAATCATAAAACTCAGAGATTAATTAGAATGCATTTTAGATTAATACCTATATTGTGTGTGGGGATTTTTTTTTTTTTTTTTTTTTACATATTTTTCATCTTGTTGAAAATGTTTTATGAAGTGTAAAAATATGTAATGCCTTGTTTTTCTTTTGTAAATAAATAGTTATTTTTTGGATTATTTATGAGCATCCTTGATTTAAATGTAGGGAGAAAATGAAAATTGTATGTGTTAATAAGAAGTAATGCCACTTATTGCAAAATTGAATTTTCTCAATACAGTTCCTGTTCAAAATCAGACCTGGCAATAGATGCCATAGAATGTATAACTGCATAGGTATTTTGCCAACTTGTATAATTATAGACAATATTTGATGGAATATAAGGAACAAGAGTTCCTATGAGGGAAAAAGGGTTTAGCAAATGCAAATTTTGGAACAAAGTTTTCAAGTAATTATATTATTTTGATATGAAATTGGAAGCTTTATGTTTAAAAAAAGTATTCAGAGATTAAATCAGGTAAAGCAAAGAGAAATAAAAACTTAGAGCATGTAATGAGCTAATTTTAAATATTGACAGGGAAAAGGATTAACAGCAGAGAACAAGAAATTTTGCAGGAAAGGATGGTCAGTTTAAAATATACGTTTAATCCTTGGCAAAGAGGTATTTAGTGTTTCAGAGAGGGAATAAAAATAGTGTTGAATAGCCAATAGGAGTTTTTTTCTTGTAAAAGAGTAAAAGTATGTCAGAAAAAAAAATGAAAGTAAGGCAAACAAAACAAAATAGATCGAACCGAGAATTAAGAAATTGATATGTTAGTATCAATATTAGAACTGATTACATAATCCTATAAAGAATTAATTGCCTTAGGGAAGAAGTATGTACACTATCAGAAAATATACGACTAGAATTAATTAAAACATTGATATAGACAATAAGGAAAAGTCACAAAAAAAAAAAAAAGGTAAAGAAAGGATGTAGTAAGGAGATAATAATAATACAATAAACGAAAGGGAAAGAAAAACACAGAAACAGAAAAAAAAGCTGTTTTGTTCTTTTTTTGAATCATTCTGGATATTAATTCCTTCGATGTATCCTTTTTTCAGATTTATTTTAGGAGAAATAATATGAAATATTTATTGCATGAAAATAGGACAGCATATGGCTTTGTAAATTATTTTAGTTATTTTATGGACACAAAGAAATATCAAGGAATAGAAATGTGTATTGTATCTTAAAATGTAACCATTCCAGTCATAAAATTGCTTTTTATTTTGTAAAAAGAGTATTTATTATTATTTCAAATAAAATGTAAATGTAATTAAATGAATATAAAAGAAAAATATACACGAGTCTTCAATGAAATGAAGCATGGTCATAGTTTAAAAGGAAAAAGAATCTTGGTTATTTCAAGTAAAGACTGATTCATGATCAGATGGTAAAAGATGGCTTTATGGAAATACGTACACACAAATATTTACATTTTCCAAACTGAACTTGTAATATATCAACCTATTAAATACACTTAAGTGGCATATGAGT